CCACATAGCCAATCTCCTTTTAATTGCTGCCACATTTTCTTTGCACTTAGACCTTGCGTGTGTCCTCTGACAGAATAGATGGGGTATTATGGCCAGTATTTGAAGAGCTAATGGGGCCAGGGGGCTGTTATGATTGTAACTGATTATGAGGCAAGTCATCTCCGGATCATTCTTTGGTGGCAGCGCGCCAGGTGGTTCAAAGAGGTTAGCTGACGACCACCTGACCACTTCTGAGTGCACTTCTTTGACCCATTTCACCACATCATCGACATGCCTGTCCAATTTGTTGACTGTATGTCATTCACCTCATGAGCAGTATTTTCCGACTGAGTGGGTTCACTATTATCGTCTGACATGTCGTCAGCAGGTGATGGATCTCTGCCGTATGGATTTTGACAGCTGGTCGCTTTCCTACAACCCACACATTGTGTGTTACTTCTCACACAAATACAGGTTGTGCATTTGTGATTCCGGCCTGAACACAGACAAGCACATTTCCTGGCCATGATGTCGTCCTGGGAAGGAGAGAGCAGTGGGAGAGGTAGGAAGTTGTGGATTGGGTGGGGAGGAGGGGCAGGTCAGCTTTGGTGTACTGACCAACGAGGCGGGGCGGGCCAGCGGGGCAGAGCACAGCTGGGCACAGACCGTCCAGGACCGTTACCACCCATGACCAGCTCGGGTTACAAGCCAAGGCCTCCGTGGCACTGGCCGACACCAGCGCCGCCACCTATACAGTCCCCGGCTCTCCAATAACTCACCGATATCCACTCAGGAGGCTCACAGGTGGATGACACTGTGATCACTTGATGCACTACACATTCACAAGTAATAATTCCAGAAGTTCTGGCTGGTTGTCCCTCTTAAGACCCCGGCGTTGGCCCTTGTCTGCCTCGGTATGCAGTCGGGCTAACTCGAACGCATTGTCACCTTCTTATGTGGTGCTTCTCCAAGCATTATGGTGTGGAGTAATTGTCTCCCAGGTGAGGGGGCCGATTTGGAACCTTTTCAGGTTTGTCTTTAAGACTATCCTTATACCTTTTCAGTTGGCCGCTGGCGTCATGTTTACTATTCGTTAGGTGACTGTAAAGTAGCTGCTTTGGCAGTCTACTGTCGTCCATCGCGGTAACATGACCAGTCCAGCGTAGTTGTTTATGGATAATGGTAGCCTCGATGCTCCTACAGTTGGTGTCAGCATTGAACGTAGACTATGCTGGTGAAAGTTTTAAAGTGGCTTGAGGTGCCTCCTGTATGTGACCCATGTCTCACTGCCATATAGCCGGGTGTGGAGGACCACTGCTCAATATACATGCAGCTTTGTAGATAATTTCAGCTCCCTACAGCTGAAGACACGGTATGAAGAATGCCAAAGGCTTGAGATGCACATCTGATCCGATGTTGAATCTCTTCATCGATGTCTGTGGTGGTGGACAGGTGGGGGCGAGATACTGAAAGTGGGTAACATTAGAGAGAGTAGTACCGTTAAGCTGGATGGATGGTGGAGGTGTGTCTGAACCAGGGGCAGGCTGAAAGAGAATCCGAGTCTTACGTACATTCACCTCAAGGCCGAAGTGTGCATACGCATCTGTGTTTTTGATCAGGATCTCCTGTAGGTCGCATTTAGTGTGAGCGATAAGGGTAGTCGTCTGCATACTGAAGTTCAGTATTGGAAGCTGTCGACTCCTTTGTTCCTGCCTGGAATCGTCTTATGTTGAAAAGACCCTTCATCCGGTACTGGATTCACCCTGACGGCTAAATTGGTAACTGGCACGGTAAGGAAGGCAGCCAAGAAAATGGAAAAAGAGTTGGTGCCAGTACACACACCCTTGTTTAACCCTGTTTGGATGGGGAAGAACTCAGACTGGGTGCCGTTGTGCAGGACACTGCTGTTCATGCCATCGTGGAGTTACTCACAATGGCGATGAATTTTGGTGGGGGCAAAACGCATAGAAGGCTTTCCTGTTGACCTAGTCGAAGGCCTTGGTTAGGTCGATGAAAGCCATGTACAGGTCTTGACGCTGTTCCCAGCTCTCTTCCTGTATCTGGCAGACAGCAAAGATCATGTCAGTGGCGATAATCTTGCCAGCTACGGGCAGCAGTGAGATCCATGTAGTTGCCACAGTCTGACCGGTCTCCCTTGTTCTTATAAATAGTAACGATGGAGGCGTCTTTAAACTTGGGGGATTTCCTCCTTTTCCCATATATTCTCCAGGAGAGACTGGAGATGGCTGGTAAGCAGAGGTCCTCGTGCTTTATACACCTAGGCTGGGATTCCATCAGGCCCTGAGGCTTTGTTATTTTTCATCTGTTTGATGGCAGTAGCTACCTTGTGCAGGGATGGAGGATAGCTGAGGAACCTGCTGGGTAGTCAGGACATCTACATCGGTGTTTCGGTTGAGCAGTGAATGGTAGCGGTCATTTTCAGCACTGAAGGGGCCTTCATCGTCTATAATTAGGGCGTTACCATCGGATGAGCAGAGGGAGGCTGTGCCATGAATGATTGGCCCATAAAATGTTTTAGTGGAATTGAAAAATTTGTGCATCTTGTGTTGATCTGCAAGTTTTTTGTTTCACATGCTTTATTTTTAAACCAGTCGTTCTTTAGATTGCGTAGTTCGTGCTGGGCCGCTGCTTTCTTCTTGTGGGCAGTATCAGCTTTGAGTCGAGACGAAGGGTTGTTCTGCCAGTCAGTTAAAGCAGCACGTTTATTATCGACAAGCACAGGTATATTGATTTCCGGTCATTTTCATCAAACCAGTCCTGCTGTATTCTCTGGAGGTTTTTGTCATGGCAGTGTTGAGGATATCACATTTGGCACTGGGATTTGGGTTGTTTGTTGTCGGGTTGTTTATCAGCCCATGTTCAAGCTGCTCTTTGAAGGCAATGCTCACTGGATCCTCCAGACGCTTAGTGTTAAAACCTCTTCTGGAGGCTTGTTGCCTTCGCCATTTTGGGGCGACATGAAGTGAGAGCTTGGCTCTGACGAGCTGATGATCAGTGTCACAGTTGTCTGAGCCACGGATGGCTTGGGTGATGAAAATGTCTCGGCGATCTCTTTCTGACAATGATGTAGTCAATGAGATGCTAGTGTTTGGATTGTGGGTGTTGCTGGCGAACTTTGAATTTGTCGCAGCCTGCCCAAATTGCTGCTGCATTGCGATAGTGATGCTGTGTGCGTTAACACTCAAGGAGAAGGAGCAGGGTTGCCGGGGAAATACACTTGCTGCTTGGCGATTCCCCGCCAAATGCCTGGCTGGCGGTGCCGCAATAACGCTGGCGCAACGATGAAGAAGGCGACACATGATTCAGTGATCAGAGATGCCGTGAGTGCGGCGCCAAGGGTCTGCATAACTGGGTCACAAAGCATAGTTTGCAGATGCATTGCCGGATGGGAAAAACCAACCCATAAATGAAAGCCATGCAGCAGGTTACCTCACAGAAGAAGGCATACAGGTATTTCTATTTCACATCACTACACGAGTCGTGATAAAATATTTTTCAAATTACGCATTTTGTGCCCTCTCGACGTTAGCGACGCGCTGTGCTCCGGGACAATTTTGCTTGTACCTTTAAAATGGCTGGCATCAAAAGTGAGAAAGTTTCGTAAAAGGAGTAGAAAGAGCCAAACTCGTTTAAAAAGCGACCAATGGCTGCTGCGATATAACGAAGAAGCCGCGGCAGTGCTTTTTTTCGACGCACGGTGCCAGTATCAGAAGAAGGGAATGGGTATTCGCAGCGGCTTCAAAGAGTAAGGTATAGTCAAGCATTTTTGGATCTACAGACAGGACAGAAGCGACCAGGGCGATGACCTGCACTGGGTGTGGTTGCCCAGTCAGGTTGGTTCTTTTAGGGCAGGCTATGCTTAGGCAATTTTTCTACCTCCTGCAGGTGTGGGTGAGCAGAGTGGTTTCTCAAGTGGCTGCTCAGTTAAATATGAGGGACCAGATTGCATGCTTATGCCTAGTGCATAAATGCAATATTTATTTGCAAAGCTTATGCAGAGCAGTGACACACAGACGGCAGTTGGTTTTGTTGCTCACATTAAAGCTCATATAGGGATGAGAGAGGGAAGATGATGTGAGTGAGAGGTATGATGAGTAGATGATGTATATGAAAGGATGAGATGTGGTAGGTAGAAAGGCAGGCTGCAACACATATTTTAAGACAGATATATCATGGTATTGTAAATAGATGTGTTGAATTTATATTTATATATACTAAGGTAATAGGCCTTTGTTTATTTACTTTGAGCCAAACCAAAGTATTTATTTTTTACCTAATTTGTTTTAATTTAAACATTGTCACGCAGTTCGGCCCCGGTTGGACAGTTTGAGCACCTTTGCACGTTCCCTTTGGCCCCGACTCATTTACGTCACCCCATCAGGTCGCCCGCCCATGTCAGAGGGAGTGCAACAAGACAGCTTAACCCGTTCTCATACCACAAGCTGGCCAATGCTCGGGATTGGTTTTGTTATTTTCCCCGGGATTTTTTTCATTTTATTCACGGTAATGCGCATTGGTAACCGAACCGCGTAACTAAGTGTGAAAGCCCGCCGTTAAAGATGAAGCTTATGATGCATCTGGCAGCGAGCTGAACCGATTCTGCAAGAGTAAGCAGGGGGGTGATAAACCAAACATCTCCACGGCGATGGAAATAAAGGTCAACTTGAATGACCCAACACCACATGGACAAAACCTAACTTGGTCGAAAACTAATTGCAATGAAAACTGCACTCCACTTCTAATATTGCAGGCTAATACTGTATTGTATTTGTGGTGTGTTTTTGAGAGATCTGACCCAGGCCAACATTTGCATTAAATTATACTAACTATTTGGTGCCTTGTACCAGCATTCTCACAAGCCATTATATCTCCTGCCTTCTGAACTCAAAGAAGTGCAGCAAGCTATTGTTTGTAGAGATACTATACTGTAGCCAAGCCTACATTACAGTGTGTATGTAAGTGAAACGGTTAATGATGGTTGTTTACCTTTTCTGTAAGTGAAATAATAAATGCATTGCACAAATGAGAACTATATACATCTTTCATACTGTTTCAGAACCAACACAGATTCGCAGATACCTGAGGTCAAGAAATGTACTAAGTGTGAGTATGATACATTTGTTTGACCTTCCTAATGTAAGGTGTACTGAGAGCTAATAAGAAGTGCAGCCTCAACTTACAACAAACCCGATAACCGCCATGGTTAAGACAAAATATTTTTCACACACGACAGCCCACGCTAATGATCGCCAAGCATACCGACAAAACAAGTAATTTAAAAATGGCGCGTAAAAAGTGACTGTGGTGATAGAAGAAAAAGAGACTTATCTTAATTATGTACATTCTGACTTACTTCCTGGTCGCCGGACGGCACCAAGAAATTCAGAAACTGTACTGCAATACATTGCGCTACATAATCCAACTTTCACTTTTAAGAATGTAGAAGATGACATTTTGAGACAATGTTACATTTTAACACAGGATGCCTGAAAGTGGACTCCAATACATTCATTCTCTGATTGGAAACCAAAATGGCAGACAACATTCTACTTGTTCAGTGCAGGCCTCAAGTCACATTCTAATATTGGTTTGTCCAAGGGGGAGCCTGTAGTCACCAAGCTCAACAATATAATCATCTAATTCTACATTTAACAAAATTGTACTAAAAGTACAGTATCAAAAACTCAAGCGATAAACAACAACTGAGCCAAATACCAGAGTTAAGCCTTCATTGGTCCCATTATAGAGGTCTGGCCTCATTCATCATCTTCATAATACAGTACTTGACAAGCAGCCTAGCCTACAGTGCTCTGATTCATATATACTAAGGCATCATAAGATGGGCCCGCCATAATATCTTGAGGCAATACTCAATAATGTGACACATACCTGCTCTTAACCACCCTTAGCTGCCTTGGTTATCACATCCACTCCCAAAGCCTGCAGGAACATTCACCTCCCCAAAGCCTGCAGGAAACATTCACTTTGCTTGAGAAACATTAATCCCAAAAGCCTGCAGGAAACATTCACTTAAAAGCCGCAGGAAACATTCACGCAAAACATTCACCCCAAAAATGAGGAAACACTACTAAATCCACAAAAACAAAAGATGCAGGAAACATTCACTTCAAAGCTTGCAGGAAACATTCACTCTCAAAAGCCTGCAGGAAACATTCACTTCAAAAGCCAAAAACATCACTTCCAAAGCCTGCAGGAAACATTCACTTCCAAAACCACAAAAACACACCCCCAAAACCAAAAACCCAAAAGCCTGCAGGAAACATTCACTCCCCAAAGCCTGCAGGAAAACATTCACTCCCAAAGCCTGCAGGAAACATTCACTTCAAAAACCTGCAGGAAACATTCACTTCCAAAAGCTCAGGAAACATTCACTTCCAAAGCCTGCAGGAAACATTCACTTCCAAAAGCCTGCAGGAAACATCACTTCCCCAAAAGCCTGCAGGAAATATTCACTTCCCAAAGCCTGCAGGAAACATTCACTCCTAAAGCAAGGAAAATATCTATCCAAAAAGCCTGCCAGTCTACGCGTGACACGATGCAGCACAGTAATGATTATTGACTATTTTCATACATTACAGTATTAACTTGATTAATTTTGACTGAAAATAATAACACGTTTGTGTTGTAACGGTAGACTGACATAGCCGGCAACTGCATGCTGGGCGTAGATGATAATACGTTAAAGAAAAGACAAAGCATGGCCACAGAGCAGTGTATTTTGCGTGATAGCGGATGTGGTCGATGACAGTAGTGTGGATGTGGTGACAGGTAGATGATGTCGTTGGTGATAGTAGAGGTTGTGGTGTTAGTGACAGTGTAGTGGATGTGGTGTTGGTGATATTGTAGTGATGTGGTGTTGCGATAGTGTAGTGATGGTGTTTGCGAGATAGTGCAGTGGATGGTAAGCTGGTGACAGTGTAGAGGATGTGGTGTTGGTGATAGCGCAGTGATGTGGTGTTGGTATAGTGCAGGATGGATGTTGGTGATATTGTAGTGATGGCGTTGGTGATAGCGCAGTGATGTGGCGTTGGTGGTGCAGTGGATGTGGTGTTGCGATAGTGCAGAGGATGGCGTTGGTGGTAGTGGATGGTGTTGCGATAGTGTGATGTGGTGTTGGTGATAGTGTAGTGATGGGTGATGGTGCAGAGTGATGTGGTGACGGTGATAGTGCAGTGGATGGCGATGGTGCAGAAGACGTGTGCTGGTGATAGTAGGGATGGTGTTGGTGATGGTGTAGAGGACGGTGTTGGTGATAGTATAGAGGTTGTGGTGATGGTGTAGAGATGTGGTGTTGGTGATAGTGTAGTGGATGTGGTGTTGGTGATAGTGTAGTGGATGGTGTTGGTGATAGTGTGGGATGTTGTGTTGGTGAAGTGTAGTGATGTGGTGTTGGTGATAGTGTAGTGATGTGCGTTGGCGATAGTAGTGGATGGTGATGGTAGAAGATGAGGGTTTATGATAGTGCAGAGGATGTGGTGTTGGTGATAGTGCAGAGGATGTGGTAAGTTAATATTATAGTGATGTGGTGATAGTGTAGTGGATGGTGATGGTGTAGAAGATGTAGTGTTGGCGATAGTGTAGTGGATGTGGTGTTGCTGATAGTGTAGTGGATGGTGTTGGCGATAGTAAGTAGTGGATGGTGTTGCGATAGTGAGAAGACTGGTGTTGGTGATAGTACCGGATATGGTGATGGCGGTGATGGTGTTGGTGATAGTGTAGTGGATGTGGAAGGCGATGGTGTAGAGGATGCAGTGTTGGTGATAGACATAGAGGTTGTGGTGCTGGTGATGGTGTAGAGGATGTGAACAAAAACAAAGTGTTGGTGATAGTGTAGTGGATGTGTTGGTGATAAGGTAGTGAAAAAAAAACAACAAGATGTATGTGTTGGTGACAGTGTAGAGGATGTGGCGTTGGTGATAGTGCAGTGGATGTGGTGTTGGTGATAGTGTAGTGGATGTGGTGATGGTGTAGTGTGGATGAAGTTGGCGGGATAGTGTGTGTGATGGTGTTAAGTATGGTGTAGTGGATGTGGTGTTGGTGATAGCGAAAGTGGACGTGTGTTGGTGATAGTGCAGTGATGTGGCGTTGGTGATAGTGCAGTGACGTGGTGTTGGCGATAGTGTACCGGATATGGTGTTGGTGATGGTGCAGTGATGTGGTGCTGCGATAGTGTAGCGGATGGTGTTGGCGATAGTACCGATATGGTGCTGGTGATGGTGATGGTGTTGGTGATACGTAGTGATGTGGGTGTTGGTGATAGTGTAGTGGATGGCGTTGCGATAGTGATGTGTGTTGCGATAGTAGTGGATGGTGTTGGTGATAGTGTACCGGATATGGTGCTGGTGATGGTGTAGTGGATGTGGTGTTGCTGATAAGCGTACTGACATGGTGTTGGTGATGCGTAGTCGGATGTGGTGTTGGTGATAGTGTAGCGGATGGTGCGGTGATAGTGTGCGAATGTGATGTTGGTGATAGTGTAGAGGATGGTGTTGGTGATAGTGCAGAGTGATGGTGTTGGTGATAGTGCAGTGATGTGGTGTTGGCGATAGCGTACATCGGATATGGTGTTGGTGATAGTGTATCGATATGGTGTTGGTGATGGTGTAGTGGATGTGGTGTTGCGATAGTGTACCGGATGCGGTGTTGGTGATGATGTAGTGGATGGTGTCAGCGACAGTGTAGTGGATGGTGGGCTGGTGATAGTGTAGCGGACGGTGTTGCTGGACAGCGTACCGGACATGGTGTTGGTGATAGCGGATGTGTTGGTGATAGTGTAGTGGATGTGGTGTTGGTGATAGTGTGGATGGTTGTTGGTGATAGTGTAGTGGATGGTGTTGCGATAGTGTAGCGGATGTGGTGTTGGCGATGACGGTGGATGTGGTGTTGGTGATAGTGTGCAGGATGTGGTGTTGGCGATAGCGCAGTGGATGGGTTGGTGATAACGTAGTGATGTGGTGTTGGTGACAGTGTAGCGGATGTGTTGTGGTTGTGTGTGTGTGCCGTGTGTGTATGTGGTATGTCGCGTGTGTGCGTCATGTGAGTGTGTCTTGTGTGTGTGTGTCTTGTGTTTTATGTGTGTCGTGGTGTGTCGTGGTGTGTGTCGTGTGTGTATGTGTGTTGTGTGCGTCGTGTGTGTGTGTCGTGTGTGTGTCGTGTGTGTGTGTCGTGTTGTGTGTGTGGTCGTGGGTGTGTGTGTGTGTGTCGTGTGTGTGTGTGTGTGTGTGTGTGTGTGTGTCGTGTGTGTGTGTGTGTGTGTGTGTGTGTGTCGTGTGTGGTATCAGGTGTGTGTGTGTCGTGTGTGTGGGTGTGTGTGGTCGTGTGTGTGTGTGTGTGTGTGTGTGTGGTGTGTGTGTGTGTGTGTCAGTGTCTGTGTGTGTGTGTGTGTCGTGTGTGTGTGTGTGTGTGTGTGTGTGTGTCTGTGTTGTGTTATCGTTGTTCTGTGTGTGTGTCGTGTGTGTGTGTGAGTCCTAGGTGTGTGTGTGTCGTGTGTCGTGTGGGGTCAGGTCGTGTGTATGTGTGTGTGTGTGTGTGGTCTGTGTGTGTGTGTGTGTCTGTGGTGTGTGTGTGTAGTGTGTGTCTGTAGGGTCTTAGGTGGTCGTGTGTGTGTCGTGTGTGTGTGTGTGTGTGTGTGTGTGTGTGTGTGTGTGTGTGTGTGTGTGGTGTGTGTGTGTGTGTGTGTGTGTGTGTGTGTGTGTGTGTGTGTGTAGTCGTGCGTGTGTGTGTGGTGTCTTGTGTGTGTGTGTCTTGTGTCTGTGTTTTGTGTGGTGGTCTTGTGTGTGTGTCGTGTGTGTGTGTGTGTGTGTGTGTGTGTGTGTGTGTGTGTGTGTGTGTGTGATGTGTGTGTGTGTCGTGTATGTGTGTGTGTGTGTCTGTGTGTTTGTGTGTGTGTGTGTGTGTCGCCAGTATTGTGTGTGTGTGTGTGTGTGTGTGTGTGTGGTCGTGTGTCTTGTGTTTCGTGTGTGTGTGTGTGTATGTGTGTGTGTGTGTGTTCTAGGGTTTTAGGTCTTATTGTTTGTTTTGTGTGTGTGTGTCTTGTGTGTTTGTTTTGTGTGTGTGTGTGTGTGTGTTTATGTGTCTTGTGT